CCTGGCTCATGACACTCCCTCACCTCCCTGGCTCATGACACTCCCTCACCACCCTGGCTCATGACACTCCCTCACCACCCTGGCTCATGACACCCTCACCACCCTGGCTCATGACACTCCCTCACCACCCTGGCTCATGACACCCTCACCACCCTGGCTCATGACACCCTCACCTCCCTGGCTCATGACACCTTCACCTCCCTGGCTCATGACACCCTCACCTCCCTGGCTCATGACACACCCTCACCTCCCTGGCTCATGACACACCCTCACCACCCTGGCTCATGACACACTGTGAGGGCGGGTGAAGGCTTGCGTGAGGTGGCGGGATTAGTGTTTACATGTTGACAGTGAGTCACAGCTGGAGAGTTGTCCCCACCCGCGGCACGCCTCTCCCCCCCCCCCCTCACCCTGCTCGTCCTTCCCCTCACCCTGCTCTCTTTCCCCCCCCACCATGCCGTCCTCCCCCCCAACCCTCCTCGACCCCCCTCTGCCTCGTCCCCCCCCTGCCTCGTCCCCCCCGCCCTCTCCTCGGTCGTCCCCCCCCCCGCCCAGCCTGCGCCTCGTCGTCCCCCCCCGCCCTCTGCCTCGTCGTCCCCCCCCCGCCCTCTCCTCGTCGTCCCCCCCCCGCCCTCTGCCTCGCGTCCCCCCCCCCCCGCCCCTGCCTCTCTTCGTCTCCCCCCCCCCCCCCCCCGCTGCGTTCGTCGTCCCCCCCCCCCCCCGCCCTCTGCCTCGTTCCCCCCCCCCCCCGCCCTCTGCCTCGTTCCCCCCACCCGCCCTCTGCCTCGTCGTCCCCCCCCGCCCTCTGCCTCGTCCCCCCCCGCCCTCTGCCTCGTTCCCCCCCCCCCGCCCTCTGCCTCGTTCCCCCCCCCGCCCTCTGCCTCGTCGTCCCCCCCCCGCCCTCTGCCTCTTCGTCCCCCCCCCCCCCCGCCCTCTGCCTCGTCGTTCCCCCCCCGCCCTCTGCCTCGTCGTTCCCCCCCCCCCGCCCTCTGCCTCGTCGTTCCCCCCCCCCCCGCCCTCTGCCTCGTCGTTCCCCCCCCCCGCCCCCCCCCGTCTGCCTCGTTCGTTCCCCCCCCCCCCGCCTCTGCCTCGTCGTTCCCCCCCCCCGCCTCTGCCTCGTCGTCGTTCCCCCCCCCCCCGCCCTCTACCTCGTCCCCCCCCCCCCGCCCTCTGCCTCGTCCCCCCCCCGCCCCTGCCTCGTCCCCCCCCCCCGCCCTCTGCTCGTCCCCCCCCGCCCTCTGCCTCGTCCCCCCCCCCCGCCCTCTGCCGCCTCGTCCCCCCCCCCGCCCTCTGCCTCGTCCCCCCCCCCCCCCCCCCCCCCGCCCTCTGCCTCGTCCCCCCCCCGCCCTCTGCCTCGTCCCCCCCCCCCCCCCCCGCCCTCTGCCTCGTCCCCCCCCCCCCCGCCCTCTGCCTCGTCCCTCCCCCCCGCCCTCTGCCTCGTCCCCCCCCCCGCCCTCTGCCTCGTCCCCCCCCCCGCCCTCTGCCTCGTCGTCCCCCCCCGCCCTCTGCCGCTCGTCCCCCCCCCCCGCCCTCTGCCTCGTCCCCCCCCGCCCTCTGCCTCGTTCCCCCCCCGCCCTCTGCCTCGTTCCCCCCCCCCGCCCTCTGCCTCGTTCCCCCCCCCCCCGCCCTCTGCCTCGTCCCCCCCCCCCCCTCTGCCTCGTCCCCCCCCCCCTCCGCCCTCTGCCTCGTCCCCCCCCCCCCCTCTGCCCTCGTTCCCCCCCCCCCCCCCCGCCCTCTGCCTCGTTCCTCCCCCCCCCCGCCCCCCCCCCCGCCCTCTGCCTCGTTCCCCCCCCCGCCCTCTGCCTCGTTCCCCCCCCCCCCCGCCCTCCCCCTCCTCGTTCCCCCCCCCCGCCCTCTGCCTCGTTCCCCCCCCCCCCGCCCTCTGACTCGTTCCCCCCCCCCCCTCGCCCTCTGCCTCGTCCCCCCCCGGCCCTCTGCCTCGTCCCCGTCCCCCCCCTCGCCCGCCCTAGCTCTGCCTCGTCGTCCCCCCCCCCGCCCTCTGCCTCGTCGTCCCCCCCCGCCCTCTGCCTCGTCGTCCCCCCCCCCCCCCCCCCTGCCTCGTCGCGTCCCTCCCCCCCCCCCCCCCCGCCCTCTGCTTCGTCGTCCCCCCCCCCGCCCTCTGCTTCGTCGTCCCCCCCCCCGCCCTCTGCTTCGTCGTCCCCCGCCCTCTGCCTCGTCGTCCCCCGCCCTCTGCCTCGTCCCCCCCCCCCCCTCTGCCCGTCGTCCCTCCCCCCCCTCCCTCTGCCCGTCGTTCCCCCCCCCCCGCCCTCTGCCTCGTCGTCCCCCCCCCCGCCCACTGCGTCGCACCCCCCCCCCCCCCCTCTGCGTCGTCGTCCCCCCCCCCCCCCCGCCCACTTCGTGCCTCGTCTTCCCCCCCCCGCCCACACGTGCCTCGTCGTTCCCCCACCCCCTCTCACACATGCCCTCTTTTCCCCCCCCCCCCGCCCACACATGCCCGTCTTCCCCCCCCCCCCCCCCGCCACACATGCCTCGTCGTTCCCCCCCCCCCGCCCACACATGCCTGTCGTTCCCCCTTCCCCCCCCCCCCCCCCTCTGCCTCGTCGTTCCCCCCCCCCCCTCCGTCCTGTCGCCCCGTTCCCCCGCCCCCTGCCTCTGCCTCACCGTTCCCCCCCCCCCCGCCCTCTGCCCTGTCGTCCTCCACCCCCCCCCCCCCACGCTTCTGCCTCCCCCCCCCCCCGCCCTCTGCCTCGCACCCCCCCCCATCCCACTCTGCCTCACCCCCCCCCCCCTGCCTCCTCACCCCCCCCGCCCTCTGCCTCGAAAAATCCCCCCCCCCGCCCTCTGCCTCACCCCCCCCCCCCCGCCCTCTGCCTCACCCCCCCCCCCTCAGTCCTCACCCTCTGCCTCGTCCCCCCCCCCCCGCCCTCTGCCTCACCCCCCCCCCAGCTCACCCTCTGCCTCGTACCCCCCCCGCCCCCTCTGCCTCGTCCCCCCCCCGCCCTCTGCCTCGTCCCCCCCGCCCTCTGCCTCGTCCCCCCCCCCGCCCTCTGCCTCGTTTCCCCCCCCCGCCCTCTGCCTCGTCCCCCCCCCGCCCTCTGCCTCGTCCCTCCCCCCTGCCCCTCTGCCTCGTCCCCCCCCGCCCTCTGCCTCGTCCCCCCCCGCCCTCTGCCCTCGTCCCCCCCCGCCCTCTGCCTCCCTCCCCCCCTCCCCTCTGCCTCTGTTCCCCCCCCCCCCCCCCGCCCTCTGCCTCGTTCCCCCCCCCCCGCCCTCTGCCTCGTTTTCCCCCCCGCCCTCTGCCTCCCCCCCCCCCCCCGCCCTCTGCCTCGTCCCCCCCCCCGCCCTCTGCCTCGTCCCCCCCCCCCGCCCTCTGCCTCGTTCCCCCCCCCCGCCCTCTGCCTCGTTCCCCCCCCCCCCGCCCCTCTGCCTCGTTCCCCCCCCCCCCCTCTGCCTCGTCCCCCCCCCCCGCCTCTGCCTCCTCCCCCCCCCCCCCCCTCTGCCTCGTCCTCCCCCCCCCCCGCCCTCTGCCTCGTCCCTCCCCCCGCCCTCTGCCTCGTCCCTCCCCCCCGCCCTGCCTCGTCCCTCCCCCCCGCCCTCTGCCTCGTCCCCCCCCCCGCCCTCTGCCTCGTTCCCCCCCCCCCCCTCTGCCTCGTTCCCACCCCCCGCCCTCTGCCCTCGTTCCCCCCCCCCCCCCCGCCCTCTGCCTCGTTCTCCCCCCCCCCTCTGCCTCGTCCCCCCCCCCCCCCCCCCTCTGCCTCGTCCCCCCCCCCCGCCCTCTGCCTCGTTCCCCCCCCCCCGCCCTCTGCCTCGCGTCCCCCCCCCCCGCCCTCTGCCTCGTCCTCGTCCCCCCCCCCCCCCCCCCGGCCCTAGCTCTGCCTCGTCGTCCCCCCCCCCCGCCCTAGCTCTGCCTCGTCCCCCCCCCCCCCCCTCTGCCTCGTCGTCCCCCCCCCCCGCCCTCTGCCTCGTCGTCCCCCCCCCCCCTCTGCTTCGTCGTCCCCCCCCCCCCCTCTGCTTCGTCGTCCCCCCCCCCGCCCTCTGCCCTCCCCCCCCCCGCCCTCTGCCTCGTCCCCCCCCCCCGCCCTCGTCTCGTTCCCCCCCCCCCCGCCCTCTGCCTCGTTCCCCCCCCCCCGCCCTCTGCCTCGTTCGTCCCCCCCCCCCGCCCTCTGCCTCGTGCCCCCCCCCCCCCCCCTCTGCCTCGTTCCCCCCCCCCGCCCTCTGCCTCGTCCCCCCCCCCCGCCCTCTGCCTCGTCCCCCCCCCCGCCCTCTGCCTCGTCCCCCCCCCGCCCTCTGCCTCGTCCCCCCCCGCCCTCTGCCTCGTCCCCCCCCCCCCCGCCCTCTGCCTCGTCCCCCCCCCCGCCCTCTGCCTCGTTCCTCCCCCCCCCCCTCGCCCTCCTGCCTCGTTCCCCCCCCCCCCCCCCCCCTCTGCTCTGCCCTCGTTCCCCCCCCCCCCCCCCGCCCTCTGCCTCGTTCCCCCCCCCCGCCCTCTGCCCTCGTCCCCCCCCCCCCTGCCCTCTGCCTCGTTCCCCCCCCCCCGCCCTCTGCCTCGTTCCCCCCCCCCCCCTCCTCCCTGTCCCCCCCCCCTGCCTGCCTCGTCCCCCCCCTCTCTGCCTCGTCCCCCCCCTCTTCTGCCTCGTCCCCCCCCTCTCTGCCTCGTCGTCCCCCCCTCTGCCTGCCTCGTCCCCCCCCTCTGCCTCGTCCCCCCCCCCTGCCTCGTCCCCCCCCTCTGCCTGCCTCGTCCCCCCCCCCTGCCTGCCTCGTCCCCCCCCCTCTGCCTGCCTCGTCCCCCCCCCTGCCTGCCTCGTCCCCCCCCTCTGCCTGCCTCGTCCCCCCCCCCCTCTGCCTGCCTCGTCCCCCCCCCCTCTGCCTGCCTCGTCCCCCCCCCCCCTCTGCCTGCCTCGTCCCCCCCCCCCTCTGCCTGCCTCGTCCCCCCCCCCTCTGCCTGCCTCGTCCCCCCCCCCTCTGCCTCGTCCCCCCCCCCTCTGCCTCGTCCCCCCCCCTCTTCCTGCCTCATCCCCCCCCCCTCTGCCTCGTTCCCCCCTGCATCATTTCCCCTGCGGGTCACTGCCGGGGACCGGCGGCGGCGGGTCACTGCCGGGGGCCGGTGGCGGCGGCGGGTCACTGCCGGGGGCCGGTGGCGGCGGCGGGTCACTGCCGGGGGCCGGTGGCGGCGGCGGGTCACTGCCGGGGGCCGGTGGCGGCGGGGGGTCACTGCCGGGGGCCGGTGGCGGCGGGGGGTCACTGCCGGGGGCCGGTGGCGGCGGGGGGTCACTGCCGGGGGCCGGTGGCGGCGGGGGGTCACTGCCGGGGGCCGGTGGGGGGCGGGCGGGGGGGGTCACTGCCGGGGGCCGGTGGCGGCGGGGGTCACTGCCGGGGGCGGTGGCGGGGGGTCACTGCCGGGGGGTCACGCCGTGGCGGGTCACTGCCGGGGACCAGTAGCGGCGGGTCACTGCCAGGGACCGGTGGCGGCGGGTCACTGCCGGGGGCCAGTAGCGGCGGGTCACTGCCGGGGACCAGTAGCGGGGGTACAGACAACACACACCGCCCTCTCCCAGAGATAGTTTGTATAATCTCGCAGAATGTCGTTTTTTCTAGTAAGACTGTGTGTGGTGCGCGTGGGTGAGGTGTGGAGGCGTGCACTGGTGCCCCCGACACACGCCGCGCGTGGGTGAGGTGTGGAGGCGTGCACTGGTGCCCCCCGACACACGCCGCGCGTGGGTGAGGTATGGAGGCGTGCACTGGTGCCCCCGACACACGCCGCGCTCGTGGGTGAGGTGTGGAGGCGTGCACCGGTGCCCCCCGACACGCCGCGCGTGGGTGAGGTGTGGAGGCGTGCACTGGTGCCCCCGACACACGCCGCGCGTGGGTGAGGTGTGGAGGCGTGCACCGGTGCCCCCGACACACTCCGCGCGTGGGTGAGGTGTGGAGGCGTGCACCGGTGCCCCCGACACACGCCGCGCGTGGGTGAGGTGTGGAGGCGTGCACTGGTGCCCCCGACACACGCCGCGCGTGGGTGAGGTGTGGAGGCGTGCACCGGTGCCCCCCGACACACTCCGCGCGTGGGTGTGGTGTGGAGGCGTGCACTGGTGCCCCCGACACACGCCGCGCGTGGGTGAGGTGTGGAGGCGTGCACTGGTGCCCCCCGACACACTCCGCGCGTGGGTGAGGTGTGGAGGCGTGCACTGGTGCCCCCGACACACGCCGCGCGTGGGTGAGGTGTGGAGGCGTGCACTGGTGCCCCCCGACACACGCCGCGCGTGGGTGAGGTGTGGAGGCGTGCACTGGTGCCCCCCGACACACGCCGCGCGTGGGTGAGGTGTGCACTGGTGCCCCCCGACACACGCCGCGCGTGGGTGAGGTGTGGAGGCGTGCACTGGTGCCCCCCGATACACGCCGCGCGTGGGTGAGGTGTGGAGGCGTGCACCGGTGCCCCCGACACACGCCGCGCGTGGGTGAGGTGTGGAGGCGTGCACTGGTGCCCCCGACACACGCCGCGCGTGGGTGAGGTGTGCACTGGTGCCCCCGACACACGCCGCGCTCGTGGGTGAGGTGTGGAGGCGTGCACTGGTGCCCCCGATACACGCCGCGCGTGGGTGAGGTGTGGAGGCGTGCACCGGTGCCCCCCGACACACGCCGCGCGTGGGTGAGGTGTGGAGGCGTGCACCGGTGCCCCCGACACACGCCGCGCGTGGGTGAGGTGTGGAGGCGTGCACCGGTGCCCCCGACACACGCCGCGCGTGGGTGAGGTGTGGAGGCGTGCACCGGTGCCCCCGACACACGCCGCGCGTGGGTGAGGTGTGGAGGCGTGCACCGGTGCCCCCGACACACGCCGCGCGTGGGTGAGGTGTGGAGGCGTGCACCGGTGTCCCCGACACACACGCCACACCATGTCTGGCAACGCCACACTCCCCGCTCCTCGTGTTCCTGCCTCTCACATGATTGGTGGATGTATCGTTTCCATGTATAGTTACTTCTGGTCAATTACAAATAGCACAATAAATTGGGAGTATTGGTGTTGTTGTTGTTAAAGATTTGCTACCTAGAACGAAAAGTTACAAGTAGCACGGGCTATGGTGAGCCCGTAGTAGAGTATTGGTGAATTAATACTGCCATACAGGTTCTGATAGGCTGCTGCAGATTACTGCATATTATCATGCTGGCTTGAACGATAATATTATTTCCTAGCTTATTTAACTATCTTGCGGATATTTCCTGTATTAACGTCGTTAAGAAGTGTTCCTAGTCCAAGTATATAAGGGACATTAACAAATTATACTGCAGAATTTGTTTGTAATATTGTTAAATGTTCGAAAAACACTGGAATATGACGATGGTTGTGAGCGAAGAGTTGTGGTGTTGAGGTGGGCAAGGCCGGGTAGGATGACGGGGGCGGGTTAGTCGTGCTTCTCACCTGAGTGAGTCCACACCTGCCCACGTGCCGCCCCACACTTACCAGTTATTACAACACTGCTCACCTTCTGTCTTCCCGATATCACGCAACGATTTAAGGTCATGACTGAGAAATATCTGGTGCGCCCATCCGTGCTGACCAATTCATTTATCCGCACGTGTGAAATATAGAAATAGAAATATAAGATGCGACTATAAAGTTGTTACATTTAGTTGTGGTGGTGGAAATGAGGAGTGTGTGGGCACGTGACGCTGTGCCGGAGGGCTGAGAGATGCGCCACTGTTCCACATCACTCTGTTGTGTTCTCAAGTGCTCGCTCCTGGAAATAAGATGAAGCCAAGTTCTCTGGAGAAGGTATACGGGCAGTTCGTCCAGCGCTCCATAGACCAGTACAAGGACCCGCGGCTGGATATATTGGTTAAGTTCCGGTGTGTGTGTGTGGTTGTCTCTTGTGAAGGTCATCAAGATTACATGTTTGCTGCATTGTTATCTAGACGAGTAATCTCAGTCAAGTCAGTAATCTTAGTAGATAGATAAGCTCAAGCTTCAGTAGTTGCTTAGATTGGCTGGATATAAAATATATCTACTCTGATGGTCATAGTAGATAGTATTTGCTATCATGTTCAGCATTGCAGAACAGTAAAATGATACGATATTATAACAGAACCAGACTGTGTGTGAGTTAGATAGTACACATGCAGACTATAATAATGAATGTTCATAGAGTAACTTGTTTGAACAGTGACCATTTCCACTGACCAGTTTGTACATCGCCGCGTGACGACGACGACGACGACAGAAATCTGCCTAGACGCCGTCCTCCTAAAATTATGCATTTTAAATGTACGCATGAATAGATGTTAACCCCTTTAGAGGTTATAGGGAGCCGGTCGGCCGAGCGGACAGCACGCTGGACTTGTGATCCTGTGGTCCTGGGTTCGATCCCAGGCGCCGGCGAGAAACAATGGGCAGAGTTTCTTTCACCCTATGCCCCTGTTACCTAGCAGTAAAAAAGGTACCTGGGAGTTAGTCAGCTGTCACGGGCTGCTTCCTGGGGGTGGAGGCCTGGTCGAGGACCGGGCCGCGGGGACACTAAAAGCCCCGAAATCATCTCAAGATAACCTTGGTAGTAGTGCACTCTTATGCTAGCCCCGCCACTGGTGGGGTACCGCACTGTTATCATGATGCTGGAATAGGTGGTAAGTGAAGGCTGTACAAACGCTACTGTAGTGTGGTACTGTTATCTGTAGTGTGGTACTGTAATCTGTAGTGTGATAGCCTCCTCATAGCCTGCATAATGAGCAAGAATCAAGGCCTTTCTGGAATCCCCGTGATGATGGCACAGTTTTGCTCCCCTGCTCTTGAATAGTTGATGAGGTTATCTTGAGATGATTTCGGGGATTTAGTGTCCCCGCGGCCCGGTCCTCGACCAGGCCTCCACCCCCAGGAAGCAGCCCGTGACAGCTGACTAACTCCCAGGTACCTATTTACTGCTAGGTAACAGGGGCATTTAGGGTGAAAGAAACTTTGCCCATTTGTTTGTGCCTCGTACGGGAATCGAACCCGCGCCACAGAATTAAGAGTCCTGCGCGCTATCCACCAGGCTACGAGGCCCCACGGTGGTGGTGGACGCGGTTGGGCATAATGAAGAGGTTGTGTGGGAGAGCAGCGGGTGCTTGGGTAACTGTTTAATGGTGAGAGTGCAAGACATTACAATGCTCTACAGCTTACCTAACTCGTCTGTAATTAAGTAGGTAAATATATTAGTCACGGGTGTCGTGAGCAAATTGGTGTTAGTTTAAGATGGTGCGGTAGTTTAGTGGATGACTTACCGACGTGACCAGGGACCAGATTCACGAAACCACTTACGCAAGCACTTACGAACGTGTCCATCTTCTCTCAATCTTTGACGGCTTTGGTTACATTTATTAAACAGTTTACAAGCATGAAAACTTGCCAATCAACTGTTGGTATTGTTATAAACAGCCTCCTGGTGCTTCGGAGCTCATTAACCGTTTAATAATTGTAAACAAAGCCGCCAAAGATTGAGAAAAGATGTACAGGTTCGTAAGTGCTTGCGTAAGTGCTTTCGTGAATCTGGCCCCAGCGCTCGTCTTGGTGGTTGTAGATTTAGCTCATCGGAACGAAAGTTGCAAGTAGCACGGGCTATCTATCGTCTTAGTGGTTAAAGCCCCAAATGCCGAATTTGTTTTTAGTCACTATTGAAGCCTCTGTAGCCATCCTCATTTGAGATTTACAGTACAAGTTGGTACTAGAATAATTAAATATAGAAAATATATTATGATCTCCATACATTCTTAACTTGCATGAATGAATGCGTCGTCACAAACCAACACAAATTAACTGAACAAAATTTCATGGATCTAGACAACTACAAAATTTTGCCCATCTATTTTCAATTTAATTCAATTATAATTGCTTTAATAAATGTTCAATAAGCAAAAAACTAAATTATTTATTTTTTTGAACTTCAAGTTAATTGTAAACATAGCAGAGGGCGCCTGAAACTGTAAACGCAGTTGATCCATTTAACGAAGCTGTTAACTGATCACGTGACCAGTGCCGGTAATTAGTCAAAATACAAGTTGAGTGTGGTAGTGTTTGGTGGTTGGCGGCCCCGGCGACATATACCATTACCAACCCGTTCTCGCAAATTTAATAAGTCAATATTGACTTATTAAATATGTGCATAGGTGACATACTTAACATAATAGATACCCTTAAAAAGATTCATAGAAAACACCGACCTTACCTAACCTACTTAGTATGTTAAGCATCTTATTGCTTCGTAATTACAATTATTACCTAACCTATAATAGGTATAGGTTAAGTAATAATTGTAATTACGAAGCAATAAGATGCTTATCTTAAGATACTAACAAGGTTAGGTAAGGTCGGTGTTTTCTATGAATCTTTTTAAGGGTATCTATTATGTTTAGTATATCACCTATGCACATATTTAATAAGTCAATATTGACTTTACGAATTTGCGAGAACGGGTTGACCATTACCTACCTTCTCTTGACTTGATCGCCTACCATATTTTTCATCTGGACACCATAGAGGTGCGGTGCGGGTTTGTAAGTTTGCTATAAGATGGTGGGCCTTAATATAGTGTGCGCTTTTGTAAGGTGGTGAGATCTTTTAGTATTGGCAATTTGTCAATTATAGAAGGCAACATAAATATTACATCACACGCACCCTCGCTCACTTTTTATTTATATATACAAGAAGGTACATTAGGTTTGTGTATATAAAATTTGTTTTTTTTCATTTTTGCAAAGCCACTAACACGAATACCGTTTAGGGAAAGAGTTTCACTCACTCGCCTTGTCGTTTTAGATTGAGGTACTCGGAACAAAAAGTTCCAAGTAGCACGGGCTATGGTGCAACCCGTCCTCTTAAAAACAACTTCGCTTTTCACTCGTATGTGCGTCATGGCCAATAACGGACGTAATTTGATATGAAATCGGCTCACGAAAGTGATGTGCTGTCCCGTTTTCTGTTAGTCCTCTGGTTAACTGGGAAAGGTTATGAGAGGAAACCTGGTAAGCCCGTGCGACTTGGACGGGCGCGACTGTGTGCTGACTCACTCACCCTCCCCCCCCCCCCCTCAACCCATCCTCGACTCAAGTCTATTCCATCCAGCGGTCGACCCCACAGACGCATTCATAAATTTTAACATGCTGTTCATTCAAAACGGGAACTTTCTCGACTATAAATTAATATTATAATATATTAGCATATTGTGTATATATATAGGCATAGGTTAGGTTAGGTTAGGTGTTTAGGTTCTGTTGGTGATTATTTGTATTTGTAGTACGTGGGTGAAGCATTTACAGCGTTGTGGTTCGAACAAAATTCGTCAGTGAAACACTTGTTCCGGATATGTTCGAACGTCATCAGTTGTGAGTCGTGTGTAAACCGCTTTTCATTCATAAACAGGGGGTTTGGCGGGTGCATGGAATCACTTTTGGATCTTTGTTTGGAGGACGGGCTGCCCCCCTTCCATGTTACACGGTACTATAATCAATTCACCCGCGATACATATAATTTGTGTAATGTAGAATAAATGTTGCTAATTATACAGTATGTAATATGGTTTACAGTATGGTTTAACTACTTATAAGACTGTTCAAAATATTTAGTAAACAAATACTTGCTGTAGGCAACCCGTTCTCGCAAATTCGTAAAGTCAATATTGACTTATTAACTACGTGCATAGGTGATATACTAAACATAATAGATACCCTTAAAAAGCTTCATAGAAAACACCGACCTTACCTAACCTTGTTAGTATCTTAAGCATCTTATTGCTTCGTAATTACAATTATTACTTAACCTATACCTATAATAGGTTAAGCAACAATTGTAATTACGAAGCTATAAGATGCTTATCTTAAGATACTAACAAGGTTAGGTAAGGTCGGTGTTTTCTATGAAGCTTTTTAAGGGTATCTATTATGTTTAGTATGTCACCTATGCACATATTTAATAAGTCAATATTGACTTTACGAATTTGCGAGAACGAGTTGCTGTAGCAACCCGTTCTCGCAAATTTAATAAGTCAATATTGACTTATTAAATATGTGCATAGGTGACATACTTAACATAATAGTTTCCCTTGAAAACCTTCATAGAAAACACCGACCTTACCTAACCTACTTAGTATGTTAAGATAAGCATCTTATTGCTTCGTAATTACAATTATTACCTAACCTATACCTATAATAGGTTAAGTAACAATTGTAATTACGAAGCTATAAGATGCTTATTTTAACATACTAAGTAGGTTAGGTAAGGTTGGTGTTTTCTATGAAGGTTTTCAAGGGAAACTATTATGTTAAGTATGTCACCTATGCACGCAACTAATAAGTCAATATTGACTTATTAAATTTGCGAGAACGGGTTGCAGTGTGTTATGATGCGGCTCTTTATTATGGCAGCACATTTGTTGCTGTTAGTGGTCAGCGCAGAGTCACATTTGTAATGAGCGTTATCAGTTAAATTGCAGTGTTTGATAAATATATTATCGCGTATAGATTGTAAAACATCATCCCGACGCTGTACGCGCAAAATTAGGCCAATGAAAATTTAATATGAAGCATTAAAGAACTTTGCGTTAGGTTAATAAACTGTTAGTGGCGGCGCCCCGCCAGAGATCTGGGGCCAGATTCACGAAAGCACTTACGCAAATACTTACGAACGTGTACATCTTTCCTCAATCTTTGACGGCTTTGGTTACATTTATTAAACAGTTTACAAGCATGAAAACTTCCCACTCAACTGTTGTTATTGTTAAAACAGCCTCCTGGTGCTTCGGAGCTCATTAATTGTCTAATAATGGTAAACAAAGCCGCCAAAGATTGAGAAAAGATGTACAGATTCGTAAGTGCTTGCGTAAGTG